AGCCTCTCTGATGGGAGGTTCTCTGAGAAAGGGACACTGAGCTGACCTTACAGCAAATACAGTCTTGTCTTCAGCAAACACTTCCCGAACACCAACTCCCGTCAGCTTCCAGGAATAGGAGGTGGTGTTGCCTGTTGCCCTTTTGGGGGTCCCAGGCTGGGGTGGAGTCAGACATAGACAAAACTCTGTTGCGGTTTGAGAAGGCTGTGCAGGGCCTGCTGCCAACTCTGACTCATACCACAGTCACCTGAGATGCTTCCAAAAGCCATGCTGGGCTCTGATTCAGTCCCTTCCTGACCACTGTGCCTTGGGCAATGAATGACTAGTAGATAAAAATTTTGCTCAACTTCCTCAAGCTTTAATTCTGGGCCAGGAACTGTTCCAGGTGCTTTGCAAACAATTCATTGGAGCAAGTAGGTGGGCACTGTTACTATTCCAACTTGCAAATGGGGAAAACTAAAGCATAGAGAGGGAAAGTAACAAGCTCAGAGTATAAAGTTGCAGAGTCAGGATCTTAATCCACGTGGTCTGACTCTGAGGCTAAAGGTGGCCTTCACATCCTGACCAAGGGCACCCTGGGGTCCCCATTCTCTTAGGACCCTGATTCCAGTTTTTTCCTGCCTTGGCAATTTGACAAAGACAGGCACATTTCAGGCCCACAGGGCTGCTCACAAGCTGTGAAGGGGCCTCCCAGTCGGCTGAGTGTAGCTCTGACCTGATTTGGACCAGATCAGGGAGCTTCAGCTCAGGGGTCTGGAAAGTGAGGAGTCCATGCTACTGGGAAATAGGGCAAGGGCTGTGGTCTTTTCACATGCAGATGAATTTAGGAAAATTCAACACTCATAGTGACTTGAAGTCTTGGAAAACTGAGCCAGTGAGCAGAAAGAGTATGCTCCTGGCTGTTCCAGGTAAGAGTGAGCATAATTACAGCCATGCTGTGAACGGTTAGTGCTTAATTGGCCAGTCAGGGTCCTGCCCTGGCATCCATCTGGGGCTTTGCAGCAGTGAGCTCTGGTGAGGCCCCTTCCCTAAAGACAGCTCCCCAGCATCTTTTCTGTGGCTTTATGTCAAGTTCCAACACACTGCTTCACCTCCTGTGGATGGTTTCTCTGTTATCTCAGAAGGTAAATTTCCAGCAAGTTCTGCTGGGGCCATACCTTGGCAACTTGTTTGCACCAGTGAGTGTGGTCACAGTGAGATCTGGGTCTCATCCCTGGCAGGACAGAAGGAGCTGCTCCTTATAGCTACTGTTCATAAACTCTTTAGAGTTCTCAAGAGAACACTTCTTAGTTAGTCCCTCATCATGCCTTATTGAACAATTCTTTCTTTTTTCTGGTACCAGGGATTGAACCCACAGAAGCTGAACCACTAAGTCACATCCCCAGCCCTTTTTGTTTTTTATTTTGAGACAGGGTCTCACTAAGTTGCTTAGGGCCTTGCTAAGTTGCTGAGGCTGGTTTTGAACTTGCAAACCTTCTGCCTCAGCCTCCTGAGCCACTGAGTATTACAGTCCTGTGCCACTGCGCCTAGCAACAATAATTATTTCTAGAGAACTTTTCCTGTTCAGATTGGTTTTCCTTTTCAGCATGTGGTTTCAGTCTCCTGTTTGAACCCATTAACACCAAAAACACAGAGGAAAGTAGGGAGATCTTTCAGACCACAAGTGGGGAGGAAGTGCCTCAGACTTTAGAGAGTTCTAAGAAAGGTTTTGTCCAGGCCAATAAGGAGTCCTTGAGTGGCAGCTACCTGTAGGAGACTGACAGATTACCTGCAGTGGTACTGCCACCATGCTCAGTCACTGGCTGAAAATGGCTGAAAATAGCCCATGGAGGCCTGGTCTCTGTGCTAACATGGTGGCAGATCTAGAGAAACAACAACTGGGGCTGTCGGTCAAATCTCCTCCTGCAGCAGGTCTGAGCAGCACATTTTCATGGCTGCCATAGTTAATGACAGAAAATTGGCCACACCCCAAGAACACAGGCCAAGGCAGGGATGCCAGAATCTGTCACCTTGATGAAGAAATAGGGCATAGGTCCAGGCTCCTCTGAGTAGGACTTCACTTAACACACACACACACACACACACATACACACACAATGTAAATACACACACAATGTAAATACACACACATATATTTATACATTATATATGTTATATATAAAATATATACACATAAATACACATTTATCTGCCTCCTACTTTGGTGAATAAAATCATTCAAAATTCCACCTTAACAGGGCTAGAGAGGGATGTAGCTCAGGGATAAAGCACTTGCCTAGCATGCATGAGGCCCTGGGTTTGATCTCCAGCATGGAAAAAAATCCACCATAATAGGATCACTTTTAATTTTGTGAATTTCCTCCCAGGTTACAATGTTTACATTATTATAATCTTCATGCAGGTAACATTTCATTTTAAAAAAATGATTTGCTATTTATAATTAACATTTCCCCATGTTCTTACCATAGGTTTTATAATTATCCTTTTCAGTGTCTGAACAATATTCACCATTTTCTAAGTCACTGCTGTTCAACATTTCCATTATATGTATTTAAAAAGATATTTATGGCTAAGCTCTTACGTACATCTTTGGGCATATACTATTTAATGTCTGTTGGGTTTTTGCCCTAGGATAAATTTCTAGGTTTGACATTACAGGGCTAAAAGATATAGTCTTGTGATTTTATCAAGTTTTGCCACACTGCTTTCTAAAAATATTTTATCCGCTAATAACATAATTATCTATTGCTGTATAACAAGTTGCCAAAAACAAGATGATTTACCACAACATGCAATTGCTGCCTCGCTGTACTTGTGGGTCAGGGTCCAGGCACAACTTAGCTGTGTTCTCTGCCTCAGGGGCTCTTATAGGCTGCAATGTTGACTAGGGCTAGGGTCTCTTCTAAAAGCTGGACTGCAGGATTCTCTTTCAAGCTCATATGGTTGCTGCCAGGTCTCAGTTCCTTGTGGACTGTTGGAATGAGGTCCATAATTCTTAGCTGGGTATTGGTCAAAGGCCACCCTACAATTGTTTCTTGGCATTTGGATCTCTCCATCATGGCTGCTTGTTTCATAAAGACATGAAAACCAAGACAGTAATCAGCTTGCAAGATGGAAGTTACAAACTTTTGTGAACTTAATCATAGCAATGATATATCCTTCCTGTTAGTCTGCTACCCAAGATAATAAACTTATAAAGATAAAAGTTCTCACAGGGCTCAGTTTGGGAGGTTTCAGTCTACAGTTGGTTGCCTTTTGCTGAGGTGAGCGTTGAACTCGTGATCCTCCTGCCCCAGCCTACTGAGCTGCATTTAGGCCTGTGGTAAGGCAGCACATCAGGGCCTAAGTGTATGGTAGAATAAAACCACTCACTTCAGTAGCTGGGGACAAAAGATAAAGTGGAAAGAGGCAGGGTCCCACTATCCCTTTGAGGGCACACCCTCTAGGCCCTACCTCCCACCATGGTGGGGATCAAGTAGCATCAAAGAGGGGACAAAGTCTTTAATACTTGGGTCTATGGGGAACATTCCAGACCCAAACTACAGGATCCTCAGTGTTGCTGCATTGCATTGTTTAGAACCAAAGGCAGCAAGATTGCCCGTAGCCAAGAACAGCAGGACCAGGGATCTCTATGGCTAGGGGCTGCGTACTATGAATGTCACCAAGAATGTCTGCTCATGTCATTCTTACCACAACCTAACAATGGACATTCTAGAGTTAAAATATGACTAGTATAGTATGTGTAAAAGACCACCTCCCACTTAAATGCCCTCTCTCCTAGCCTGGAATCTTCCCATAGGACCACCTGGATCCTTTGCTCTAAGCAACCATCTTTCAGAAATTACATGGGCAGCAACTTTGTAATTTCCCAAAGGAGCCAATTCATAGCAACCTAAGAAGTGCCCTGACTGGGTCTTTGAAAAGCTATGAAGTAGAGCTGTATTAGGCAGCAAAGTTTCCTGAAGTGGGATGAGGGGTAGGGAGGGATTCTGGTTTCAAGGAATTACGAGCCTTTGGGAAGTAATTTTAAGACCTGAACACCCTAGTATTTGTACCACTTAAAAGCACTAAATTAAAGGGAACCAATCTTATTTTATTTTTTAGTTTTTGGTAATGGGATCCAGGGTCACTTAACCACTGACCCACATCCCTAGCCCTTTTTGTATTTTATTTAGAGACAGGGTCTCAATAAGTTGCTTAGTGCCCCGCTTTTGCTGAGGTTGACTTTGAACTTGTGATCCTCCTGCCCCAGCCTACTGAGCTGCTGGGATTACAGGGGTGTGCTACCAAGTCCAGCTCCAATCTTTTCTTTTCCTTTTTTTGGTAGTTGTAGATGGCCAGGATGCCTTTATTTTATTTGTTTATTTTTATGTAGTGCTGAGGATCAAACCCTGTGCCTCATGCATGCTAGGCAAGCACTCTGCCATTGAGCTATAGCCCCAGCCCCAGCCCCTCCGGCTACAATCTTACTGTTTTTTTGCCATTCTGGGAACTGAAGTCAGGGCTCTTGCATGTTAGGCAGCTAGGCAGTTTCCCTACCACTGAGCTACATTCCCAGCTTGGGAACCAGTTTTCTACTATATACCCTTCTAGGCTTCATGTGCTGCAATGGCTTCCATGTGTGCTCAGCTTCAAGTTGGGCCCTGCACTGTGGACACCAGAAGGGACAGAGATAGTGGGACCAGCCAGGATCAGGATGACTCTGGAACTCTGTTTTTTGTATTCTGGCTGTGGCTGGAGAAGTATGTGTGTGTGGTTGTGGGGTGAAAGGACAACATACCCACACACGGTGAAGCCTCTGGGAGCCTAGGTTTTGGAAGTAAGTGGCACATTAAGCATGTGTGGGGACTAGGAAGAACAATGAGTGGGGACAAAGACTGTGACTTGGGAATGGAAGGAGAGAGTAAGGAACAGTTCTGGGGTTTACTCTCCCCCATACTGGGGCTACCTTCTTATATTAGTTTATCTTCTGTTGTTGTAACAAAATACTTGAAACTCGGTAATTTATAAAGAAAACAGGTTTATTTGGCTCATATCGTGGAAGTCCAAGAACATGGGACCAACTTCTCTTCATCTCTGGTGAGGAGCTCATGGCAGATGGCATCACAATGGTGGGAGTGCACTCAAGAAGGAAAGATCCCATAACCAGTCAGGAAGTGTGGGTGGAGTGGCCAGTTTTATTATTATTTTTAAACTACAGCTTGCTCTCACCAGAGTTCACTTCCAGAGATCAGTATTCATCGTTACTGAGGACAATGCCCCCAGTGACCTAATTATCCCTTACTAGGTCCCACCTATTAAAGGTTCTACTTCTTAACACTGCTGCACAGGGAAACTTCTACCGTATCAACCATTGGGGGACAAATCATAGCACTTGGGCAGATCAGCATGAAGGCCTGATGCTGTCACCTGGGCTCATGCCAACATTAAAAGTAGATGGGTGGGGGCAGGGAGTGGCGAGAAGGTGGAGTCCATCAAATTCAGACTCCATATTTGACCCCCTTGGCATGATGGTCCTTGATGTACAGCAGCAGCTATGGCTAGGTGACATCCCAAGGAGCCCTGTAAAGTGCTATCTGCCGGAGTGGACTCTTATTCACCTAGTTCTACCTCATCTGTCTCTGTACTTATCAAGCCTATGCCTTATGTTGTCCTAGGTGCTAGGGATCTGTGAGATGAGCAGGGGTCCCCTGTTCTCAGCCAGCCCAGGTCTGGTGGAGGGACTTGCAGGTTGGCACAACACACTGAGCTCTAGACCACACTGAAATCCTAGCAGGAAGGTGTACCATGACCACCCTGGCTTACTCTTTTCACAAGGTCTCCTGCCAGGAACTGTCTACCACCACCAAGTGCCTTCCCTGGGTGTGACCTAATCCCTTTGTCCTGAATTTTACTGGCACCATGCCTGAATTCTTCAAAACTCTTCCAGAAAAAACATAATTTCCAATGTAAAAATGACATGAATGGCCAAATTAGTCTTGGTTACAGCTCTCCTCACTTTGCCCTGTTGGGGGTCTCCTGTCCAAAGATCAAAGCTGAGGGGCTGCTTTCTGTACCACCAGAGGGTTCATGGGGAACAAGGATACAGTCCCCATGGATCCTGTGACACATGCCTGGTTCACTGCCTACCTCCACCCTCTGTTGTCCCCAGTGTCCTCACCAAGCAAAGCTGCGCCACTTAACCCCCTCTGCTCTCCAAGCCCTGATCCTGCTCTGTACCCCAGGAGGCTGACTGCTTTGGACTCCCCAGCAGAGCCTCAGACTTGCAATGGTTTGTTCTTTCCTCCATCTTTAGGCAGAGCTTCTGCTGTGTTCCAGGAACACCTCCCTTCCTCTTCTGGTCAGGTGCCTTTCCTGGTGCCCCATCTCTTCCCTGGTTTCCCTTCTCTGGGTGTACCATTTGCATCCATAGGACTTTATTGGCACACCACTCTAAAAGCCCCACCAAATTCACATTTTAACCTCTTAAATCTTCTTTTAAAAAAATATATTTTTTTAGTTCTTGATGGACCTTTATTTATTTATTTATTTATATGTGGTGTTGAGAACCCAGTGCCTCAGACATGTGAGGCAAGCATTCTGCCACTGAGCCACAACTTCAGCCCCTAGCCTTTTAAATCTTTTAACCTCTACCTCAATGGAGAAAGACTGGAATTTGACCACTGGGCAGACAGAGGAGGGTTCTTCACTGTAGGAAAGGGTTGACTATTACCAGCACCTAGTTGGGAAGATGTGGCCTGACTCCTACAACCAACGGAATTCAAAGATAAAGGAGGAGTGATATCCTGTTTATTCATGGTACTCTTTCTGCCAGGTCCTCTTATTCATGACTTCATATATCCCTATAATCCTGTGAGGTAGTTTATATCCTCTCCACATTATAGTTGAGAAAACCAAGGCTCAGATTCATAAAGGGGACTTGCCCAAGGTCCCTGAGTTCATAAGTGGTAGGAGAAGATAGAATCTAGGATATTTAACTCCAAAGCCTATAATTTTTCTGACTGTGGTCTGTGGGTCCAGGGGTCCCAAGGGATTTCCCCAGACAATGCCAGAGTGGTATTTGCATGAACTGGAACTGTCCTGGTCATGAGCACCTCAGGAGCGGCCTGGGTTGGGTGCTACCCTCCATATCTGCAGTACAGAGTCCCGGCGGGTTGTGTAGGGTAAATGCTTGATGCGGAACCAGTGTCTGGGGACAATGTTCCCACTGGGTGTATACAGCTTCTCCCCGCGTCTGCCCAAGAGACTGCGCAGGGCCAGGTTGCCTGACAGAACCTTCTCATAGAATTCCACTCCACCTTGGGCGTAGGCTGTAGACAGGGAGGCAGTGCGGCGGTCCAGCCAACCTTCCAGGGCATGAGTAAGAGAGTCTGCGGAGAAGGCATAGGCCACGAAGCCTGCCACTGCTGCCACCAAGTTGAAGGCAGCTCGTATGTTCATGGGGCCTCCATAGAGCCCTAGTGCATGCTTGGCACCCACACTCAGTGCCCAGGTTCCTGCCAGGCAAGCTGGGGCTGGCAGGGCCTGCAGGGCAGCTGCACTAGTCTCCAGGTATACCACCTCTTTGGCCAAGGCAAACTTCTGGGCGTCACGGGAGAGGGTCAGGGCATCTCTTAGACGGGTGCCTGCTGGGGTCTGCCAGTCTACTCTTTGCCCATGTATGACCACAGGATGATCACTGTTGGTTACTGGGCCACCAAGGAAGCTGGCAGGGATGCCTATGACAGCCCCGGCAGGGAGTCTTGGGAAGCCGGCACTCACAGGCTGGAAGGTAAAGGTGGTGAAGGGCTTGTAGTAGTGGCCAGAAGGGACGCCCATATCCTGCAGGACCTCTTGGAAGAGGCTTTGTAGTTCTGAGGAGAGTGGGGCCGGTTGGCCCTGGGGCCAGTACTGGTAAAGCCACTGGACCACGGGATCCGGGAAGAGGTGGTACGAGATTTGAGTTCCAAACAGGCCTGTGCAGGAACCCACCAAAAGGGCTGTCCTGTGTCTCTGTATGAAGGCTGAGACCCGCCACAGGGGACCAGCCATGAGTGCTGCCACTGCTGACAACCTGGCTAAGAAAAAGAGAACAAGAGCAAAATCCTTCTTTACTGAGGCAATTCTGCATTGAGGTTTAAAGCATGGGCTGGCTCTACAGGCAGACCAAATGGGTTCAAAGAATCATTTCTCCACTTGCCAAATAGGCGTGTGACAGTGGCCCACCTCAAAGGTGGTTGCAATGAGTAAATAAATGAACATACATAAAACAATCGTGTTTGGCTTAGTAGCAGACATCCCTTGTAAAAACAGCTATAATTCTTATTTTTATTCTTATGGCCATATACAGTACTAAGTACCCAACTACCTCATTCCACCCACCATTCATTTCATTGTGAAGCCTTATTGTCATTAATTTGTAAATGAATCATATGTTCAATTTATTGGGTACTTTATGCTAGGCACAGTTGTAAGAGCTTTACATATATAGCTGACCCTCAGTATCTATAAAGGTTTGATTCTAGGACCTCTGACCCACCCTGCAGATATAAAAATCCAAGGATGCTCAAGTTCTTTATATAAGTTGATATAATATTTATATATAACATATGCACATCCTTCTGAATATTTTAAATCATCTCTAGATTACTTATAACTAACACAATGTAATTGCCATGTATATAGCTGTTATATTGTTTAGAGAACAATGGTAAGAAAAAAGTTTGCATGGTCAGTACAGATACAGTTAAAATATATTTTTGATTGTTAGTTGAATTCATGGATGCAGATCCCACAGATATGGAGGGCTGGCTATATTAGGAAAATATACTTGTACTACTAATAACTTGAGAGATATTTAAACATATATACACAGAGAATTATTCCTTTGTAACCACAGGGGACTGGTTCCAGTACCCCACCAGATACCAAAATTTCTGAATGTTCTTCTCTGTATAAAATGGCTTAGTATTTGCATATAGCCTATGCACATCCTCTTACATATTTTAATAATCTCGAATTACTTTTAACACCGAATGTAATGCAAATACCATGTATATAGTTGTTATACTGTATTGTTTAGGGAATAATTATGTAAGTCTATACACGCTCAATACAGATGAAAAAATTTGTTCCTAAATATTTAAATCTGTGATTGGTTGAATCCCTAGAGGTGAACCCTCTGATAAAAAGCTAACTGTATGGGCTGGGGATGTGGCTTAAGTGGTAGCGCACTCACCTAGCATGCGTGAGGCACTGGGTTCGATTCTTAGCACTACATAAAAATAAAATAAAGATATTATGTCCACCTAGAAAAAAAAAAGCTGTCTGTAGGACAAACAACTGAATCTTCATAACCCCAAGACTTATGCTATGATTGCCCCTTTTTTAAAGTTGTGAGAATTGATGCATGGCCAGGTTAAGAAGACTGGCCCAAATCCCAGGCTAGTAAAGTGTAGGGTTATGGACTGAATTGTGGCCTCTTAGTACATCAGAATGTGACTGTATTTGAAGATAGGGTCATTACAAAGGAAAGGAAAAATGCGATTGTGATGGACTCTAATCCTATCAGCCTGGTGTCTTCATAAAAGTGAGATTAGAAAAACACATGTACAGGGGCTGGGGATGTGGCTCAAGCGGTAGCGAGCTTGCCTGGCTTGCGCAGGGCGCTGGGTTCCATCCTCAACACCACATAAAAATAAAAAATAAAAAAATAAAGACATTGTGTCCACCTAAAACTAAAAAATAAATATTAAAAAAAAAAGAAAAAGAAAAATACATGTACAGAGGGAATATCACAAAGACACAGGGAGATCATCTGCAAGTCAAGGCTAAACCAAACCTGATCAAACCTTGGTCTTGGACTTCTAGCCTCCAGAACTGTGAGAAAATAAATGTCTCCCAGTTAGGCCACCCAGTACTGTTATTAGCCCTAACAGTTAATTCAGGCACAATATTTGAGCATGGGCTGTCAGGCACCACAGCAATGTACTCATTTTAGAAAACCTGTTATGCTAAATCGTAAACATAAACAAAGGTAGAGAAAATAATATATCAAACTCAATCATTATCAACTCAGCCAATATTGTTTCATTTATATTCCTACCCCACATCCCTGACTGGTTTATTTTGAAACATTCCAAACACCTTATCATTTCATCTGGGCATGTCACCTAATAATCACAGTTACATAACTTTGGTTGAAACTTACTATATTCCTGTCTGTGAAAAATGTTTAATTAGCAATGACGTTCAGCAAACGAGAACGCGGGGTACTGCTTAGCCTGTTTTAATAAGGAAATCATACTAACGTCATCTCATTTGGGCCTTTCTTTCCAAAGAGGAAACTTAGGGTAGGAAAGGAAGGATCCTGGACGAAGCTCTAACGCACCTAATCTGCCGACGCCAAGGCAGCTTCTGGGGCCTCCCCCGCGGGCGGCTGGGAGAGGAGGGGCTCCAGGACCTTCGTACAGGGGCTCCGCTATGCCTCCACCCTAGGCCCCCGAACACCCTGCGGCAGGGAAGCTAGGGACGAAAGCTCGGCCCGCGAGTCCAGGTACCTTCCGCCTGGCTCGGCGCGCTCACCTGCTCTGCGGCTGCCCAGTACGCGGCGACACGTGCGCGGAGCCCGGCAGGGGCGACCGCAAAGCACGCCGGTCCGGGCTTTGGGGGCGGGGTTTTCAGAGGGTGGGGCCCGGTGAGTTGCTTGTTGGTCCGGACTCTGGGGGCGGGGACTCCAGAGGGCGGGGCCGGGTGCGTCACTCGCCGGTCTGAGCTCTGGGGGCGGAGACTCCAGAGGGCGGGTCCAGGCTTTGGGGGCGGGGACTTGAGAGACCCAGTTGCGGCGTCCGGCTCTGTGACTGGGATCTGAGGGAGAGGACCAGCTGAAAGGGCTTGGCGAGGGACTCCTGGAGAAGGCGGCTGGAACTTTTTGGAGCGATCTGCTGGCTGCCGAAGGAGCGGTGCTGGTACTTTGATCATCCGGTTGAACTCTGGACGGCGTGCGAGCCTCCTCTGCGGCCCATGCCTACCTGACGGTCAGCTCCGTCAGCCCCGGGCATTCCCATCCGGAAGCGCTCTCGAGCTCCTAGCTTTATTTTCATTAACCGCGTTCGGTGCCTTCCGGCTGCTCCCACGTTGTGTAGTCCGCAGAGAAACAGCTTGTCAGTCGCTTCTTCCCAATAGCAATGTGAGGTAGATCAGGGATCGGTTTGCTGATACGCCAAATCCAGCTCACCACCTGATTTTATAAATAGTTTTATGGGAACAAAGCCACGCCATTCCTTTATGCGTCGGTGGCTGCTTTCTTGGTAGAAGGGCAGAGTGGCTAGGACAGAGACAATTAGGCTCATAGAATTTAACACGTGCCATCGGGTCCATTAAAGAAATAATTTGGGGCTGGGATTGGGGCTCAGTGGTAGGTAGAGCGCTTGCCTAGCACATGTGAGGCACTGGATTCGATCCTCAGCACCCCATAAAAAATAAATAAAATGAAAGGATTGTGTCCATTTAAAAATATTTTTAAAAGGCTTTGAAAAATAATTTGTGGATCCCTAAAACAGATTATTCCTACTTTTCAGATGAAGAAACTGAGCACAGAACTTGAACAGGGCACCCAGTTTATATGCACTTAGTATGCACTGGAGCAAGGTTGGGACCCCGATCAGACACTGATTGCTATGTATTTTACATTGCTTCCTTTGCCTTCATAAAAATTCTCTCCGATGGGGCTAGCCAATTCTCTTCCAATATGTCAAGCTTTCACTTCCATTCCAGCCTCTGGGGAAGTAGGGAAAGAGTGCTCACCTCCTGGGCAGAAAGGTGAAGATGTTAGGAGATCTGGAGGCTTATGAGCTTTGGGGTTGGACTTCGGAAGATTAGCAATTTATGGACTGTGTAACTCCAAACCACCAATGCAAACTCTCTCTTCAGTTTCCCTCCCACCAAAGGACAAGTGGTAGTGGTTAACCAAATCAGGCTACCAAGCAGACCATACCTGAGTCCCACAGCTGATCCTGTAACCCTGAGCATTCTGAAGTCATTATTTCCTGTTTCACAAGTGGCCCAGCAGCCTCTTATGGAATCATAGGCTGGCCAGGCAGAGAGGATCCTGATGACTCTAGGGGAGACACTGGACTCCTTGTGACTGCCAGCCAGACCTGGTCCAGACTCTCAGCCCAGAATCAGTGCTTAGGATCACTGTGGCCCAGGGGAAAAAAACCTGTAAAGTTTGTCACCTTTCTGAACCTCAGTTTCCTCCTCTTTAAAGTGAAGATAATATCTGTCTCAAGGACCCTGTTCCACCCTAATCCTAGAAAAATAGCTGCTAAGACACTGCCATTTTATATATCTAGGGGGAGGAGCATTTCAAGTCACTTGTCCTTGAAAAGGAAGATTTGACCTGGAATTGTCCCTTCTATCTTGACCTAGAAAAGCACCCTATCACAAAGTGCTTCAAGACTGGATGTAAATCTGGCAATGATGAAAAACCTGATGCTGAAGCCAATTAAAAATGGTTAAATCCCAACTCCATCCCTACTAGCCGTGTGAGACTTGGCAAATTCCCTCTCTGGGCCTAGTATTCTCATCTGTAAAATGGGGATGAGAGTACTACCTACTTTTTATTGTCATTGAGAGGGATAAAATAAGTTAATGTTTGTATAATGCCCAGCATTGTTTGCATAATAGCTAACTATGTGCTATTCATGCTAGGCATGTGCTCTGCCCCTGAGCTACACCCCCAGCATATTTTGGTATTATATGAATTTTATTTCAATAACCAATGCATATGTTAAAAAAGTAGGTTGGGCTGGGCCCCATAGCACAGGCCTATAATCCCAGCGACTCAGGAGGCTGAGGCAGGAAGATCTCGAGTTCAAAGCCAACCTCAGCAAAAGCCAGGCGCTAAGCAACTCAGTGAGACCCTGTCTCTATATAAAATACAAGACAGGGCTGGGGAATGTGGCTCAGTGGTCAAGTGCCTCTGAGTTCCATCCCCGATAAAGAAAAGTAGGTTGGCTAACCATACTACAGATCAGATAGAATACTTATCACTCATTCTTCTGAAGCACCTGGGAAAGTTACTTTTCAGGAAAGAGGAGCAGAGCCCCAGGGGACAGGTGAATGTTTTGCTTGAGGCTGGGCTTCTCATTAAGAGCGTGTCCTCATGTTCATCTTGTGCCTAGGACTCCAACTATCTCTGACAATGCCTCCGTGGCCTTTTTGTGGATTTCTCAGATTCTATTTCATTTGTTCATTCAACTCCAATCCTGTGCCAAGTGATGGGAGTAAAAGACAGATAAAAGTCAGACAGCCCTTAGCCATTCCCTGGTCAATAAAGCAGACAAGCAAATTCATGAGAGCAAAGAGCCCTTGTCCCTTTCCTCTGATAGGACCACAAAGGAGGGAGGGAATGAATGCTTCTCCTTAGGAAGGTACACTTGCACCTGAGATTGGGAAGGCTGTGGGAATTGCTGGTGGTCAAGGGGGCAGGGTGGGGTGCTTATCCTGTGGACACTGGGCCCCTTCTTCCAGGAGGGAAGAGGTGGTTTCCTCTCAGCCTGATCTTTTCCCGAGTATGGGAGACAACAAGACACGAGGGAGGAGCAGTGACCTTGGGTTGAGGGGACAGATTCTCAGACAGACCTGAGGTTTGAAGAGAGCAGATGTAAAGATGTAAAATTTTCATTTGAAGAGGGAGAAAGAGGCCTGGGGATGTAACTCAGTGGCAGAGAGATTGCCTAGCATGCACAAGGCCCTGGGTTCCATCCCAACCTGGAAAAAGAGAAAAATTGTGCTTTAAGAAGAGGGAGAAGCCACCAGGAAAATGTAATGATTATTGTACAGCCTTGAGTGCTCATTTGAGATCTGAGTCAAAAACACGTTGTGAGCCTATTTAGTGTTGTGTGATTTTCTCCAATAGTGTTTGGGTACTCAGGTACAGGGATGGGTGATGGTTAGTAGAGTTTAATCAGAGCTAGGATTTGCCAGTCAATTACTAAGTGGAAAGAAAGCGGCAATGTTGGTGAGGGTATGTATTTGCAGAGAAGTGATTGCCTGAACCTTGAACTTTAAGCTAATAAGGAACATAGTGAGGGCCCAGGGGTAGTTTATCTACTTAACACTTAAAAGTGGCATGCCCAGTACTGTTTTTTAGCACTTTGCAGAAGGAAGATGTGGCAAGATCATAGACCCAGTGAAATGTAAGGATTGTTGGAACAGGGTCACCCCAGGTAGAAGTGTAAAAAGGAGGTGATATGAGGGTGGTATATGTGTATCTGTGTACTGGGGATTAAACCCAGGGCTTCATACATGCTAGATAAGTGCTTTACCACTGAGTTACATCCCTAGCATGTTGGTGGTGACAGAGTCAAGGCTGTGACTGTGAGAGCAGATGGCCGAGGTGGGGAGGAAGAAGAGATTGCTAGGAGTTGAGGAGGCATGTTAATTATGTTTCCCCCTCTATTTAACATTTGGGGGACCTTGCTAATCCTGCCTCTCCCAGGACTAGATAATTACCAGAGACAGTGATGGCATGACTTCTCTGTGTCGTCACTCCATAATTCCAGGGGCAATCAGAACAGCAGGCTCTGTAACAGGTGGCCAGGTGGATTGTCTCTGAGGAAGTTGCGGTTGGCAAGAATGGTTGAAGGGGGAGTGGTAAAGAATATAGTGGCCCAGGTGCTAAAAAAAAAAAAACAAAAAAAACCCCTCAAGAATGAAAGGAAGTGACCAGGAGTTAGGCACATAATAGCAGCAAGAATGGGCCATGTATGGAAAAGTCTGATAGCATGCACTTCAAAGGAGCTGGGCTCTGTGAAGGAGAAAATGGCTGTGGCAAGAGGAGAGGACACTTATTCTACCCTGATTTCCAAGGGAAGGGAAGGGAAAGGGAAGGGATAGATTAGGGGAAAGTCGAGGAGGGAAGGGGGAGGGCATTTTCTGATGATAGACCAAGCATTCGAAAGTTCACAGGGAAGTGACCTTGTGGGGACTGCAAAGGTGTGAGTGATTGAGACCAGATTAGGGGGATGGATAGGAAATAAATGCAAAACAAGTTTCTAGGAAATGGTAGATGACAATTTCCAAAAAAAAATTCTGTTTTTAAAAAAATTTTTTTTAGTTCTTGATGGATCTTTAATTTATTTATATGTGCTGCTGAGAATTGAACCCAGTGCCTTGCACATGCTAGGCAAGCGCTCTACCACTGAGCTACAACCCCAGCCCCGGAGGGTTTTGGGGGGAATGAAAGTAATAAGTATTACTAATGTTTTAATTACTATTCAATCGATTAGATTAATAAGTTTGAATATCTTATGTCTCTTAAGCCTAAAAATCTTGATTTACAAAATATTATCTTATTAATAAGGCCAGAAAGTTTTGTATAAAAATAAGACTTTCTTTTCTTCTTTCATTAACTTTAAGTTAGCTCATTGACTTCACAGATTCCTTATTTATATTACACAATTTCTCTATTTAATTAATCAGATTTCTGTAGACATTTCAAATCACACTTTCAAATTGAGTTCAGTTGATTTTCTTAAATCCAAGAAACCCTGCATTCATTAGAGTTCTCTAGA